TCAGCTTGTTGCTGCCGACAGAGCTGATAGTGTTCAAGAGGTACGGTTCCTCGTGTCCAGCAACACTAAGTCCCCCACTTTAAATACACTTAAGTTTCCTCTTCCATGTTTGTCGGAGTACTCCTTTTGTTTATCTTGAGCCGCTGTCATGGCATCGCGAGCCCTGCTAACATCGCCCAGCTTGGTATCCATAAAGGATTCCACTTGTTTCCGCAGCGAAACTGGTCTCACATCCGAGACCTGGGAGGAAAGGGCTTTCCGAGCCTCTCCCCCACTTAGAATAGAGGAGTCAGTGTCTCCTCGAAGAGTGAGAGGCACTCTGGGGTGACGGAAGCCGTTTCAAGTAGAACGGCGTGAACTCTGTGGACGCGTGCACCGCGTTCTTGAGCGCAAATTCAACAACTGGAAGCTGCGTTGACCACGTACGTGGTGCTGCCGCGCACACACTGCGCAGAGTGTCCTCGAGCACTCTATTAACGCGCTCTGACCGTCTGTCTGCGGATGGTCCGTTCTGGACATCTGCAGACGAGTTCCCAGCAAAGGAAACAGCCTTTTTTAAACACAGCCGTGAGCCGCGAGTCTCGGTCCGAAACAATCGTTTCCGGGAGTCCGTTATAGCGGAACACGCCATCGACGAACGACCTTGCGGTTTGTTCGCCCGTAACAATGACGAGAACCGGAGCAAAATGTACCAGCTTGCTCAGCCGACACACGAACACCAAAATCCCGGTGTTGCCGTGTCCGTCGGCGGGAAGCCCAAAGATGAAGTCAAGACTCAATGACTTCCAACAGTCAGCCGATACGGGCATGCTCTGTAGTGGAGCCGAAGAGTGTCCTGCGGGTTCGACCCGCTGACATATTTCGCATGTCTTAACGTACCGGGCGAACCACTTGTACGTGTAGGCCCACCAGAAAGACTGAAAGACCGACAGAAAGGTCTTCTCGCGGCCCAAGTGGCCGCTGGAGAGCGCGTCGTGCGCCTCCGCAAGGATATCGAACTTCAGATCCTCGTCGTTGGGTACGACCACCCGTGGAGGATCATCGGGCTCCACCCAGTAATAGAGGAGGCCATCATTCAACTCATATCGGTGGAGCCGTGAGCGCTGTTGCGACGAGAGCCAGTCGGACTTCGCGCTCGTTCCTGCCATAAGGAACTTGACGATAGGCGCGACAACCTCATCGCCCCGATGCGCCATGCGTATCCGATCATATAGATCCGTTGTCACCCGCGTGATGTGGGCCAACTCATAGTCAGGACGCCGAGAGAGGGCGTCCGCAAGCACGTTGAGCTTGCCCGGCTTGTACTCGACGCGGAAGTTGTACTCCGCGAAGAAGGACAGCCACATCGCCGTCCTTTGGGAGAGGTGAGGCGAATTGGTCGCCGTCCTCAAGGACGCGTGGTCTGTGTAGATCACAAAGGGCCTAGAGCCCAGAAGGTGAACACGATACTTCACAAGGGCATATTTCATTGCCAGGAGCTCCTTGTCGTGGACAGGGTAGTTCCTCTCGGCGGCTTTGAGCTGCCTGGACTGGAACGAGATGACTCGTTCGTGTCCAGCCGTATCGGCCTACAGCAATGCACATCCGATGGCGTAATCGGAGGCATCGCAGACGACGCTAAACGGGTTCGTCTCGTCCGGCAGGGCCAGGACAGGGGCCTCTTGGAGACTGGCCTTGATGCTGTCAAAAACATCCTGGTGCTCTTGCTTTCAGCGCCAGTCGACGTCCTTCTGAAGGAGGCTCGACAAGGGCTTAGTGAAGCCCGTGTACCCTGCGCTGTACTTGTGAAGGCAGTTGGCCAAGCCCAACCACTTTCGAAGATCCTTCAGGGATCGGGGCGTCGGCCATGCTGCTATGGCCTTGACCTTGTCTGGGTCAGCCCGAACGCCCACGTTGCTTACGAAGCAACCGAGAACTTTAATCTCTGGTGACGCGAAAACGCACTTGTCGATGTTGGCGTAGAGCTTGTTCGCTAGCATTACGTCCTTCACTCGACGAAGGTGTTCTAGATGCACCTCCGTGGCCGTCTTGCCTCCCTCGGTACGGCTATGGACGAATATGTCGTCGAAGTACGTCTGTACGAAGGTACGCAAAGGGCGGAACAGCTGCGTCAACAGGTGATTGAACGTCGCCGGGGCGTTAGACAAGCCCTGCGGCATGACGAGGCACTCCCAAAGCATGCCGCTTGGAGTGCTTACCGCGGTGAGCGGGATGTCACTCTCCCGCATTAGGATCTGGTAGTATCTGTCTACCAAATCCAGCGCACTGTACAGTACGCTCCCGGTCATGCTGTTTAACAACACATCCTTTCGTGGGATTAGAGTTTGGGTTGGCACCGTTGCGCTGTTCAACTTGTTATAAGCGTGAGCCAGACGCCACTTTCCGTTCGGCTTCCGAAAGCAGAAAGGCAGCGTCGAGTGCGGGGATTTCGACTCCCGCACCATGCCTGCCTTCGCTTTCGCGGCGAAGAAGGCACCAATGACCTCGCACTGTTCGCGCGGGAGAGGCCATTGCCTCGTGACACAATACTTTGTGCCGTACGACTCGATCCGGTGGGAGTTGGGTCGGTGGGTGTTTGTTCACGACGTCCGCATACTCCGTCACCAAAGGATACACTGGCTCCTTGGGGTTCTTAAAGATCTCAGAACCCAAGCGCGTCTGACGCTGCTTGTTTAGGTCTTCCAGGACGTTCTCGTCCAAGACCGAGGAGGAGTTCAGCTCCTCTCGAGTGATCTCAGGTTTCATGAGCACCATCTCAGCAATCTCTCCAGGCTTTGGGTTGGCCAGAAAGAATTCAGCGCGTTCATTCCTCGAGGTTCAGTATTCTGGCCACCTTCTGGGCAAAGCGTTTCCAGTGGACACCAGATGGCTCTGGACGGTACACGGGTCTCGCCATCGAAGATGTGATAGCACGCTTCCACCGGCCTGTCAAGGGAGCCCGAGCCCTGGACTCCGAGTCGCTGGAGGCGACGTCGATCTGAACGAAGTTCGGATCCGACTGGGAGGGCGGCGGCGGCGTCGTTGACGACGGCGACCGTGACGTGGAGCTTTGCTGCCCACGTCTAGGGATGTCGGCGCTACGGCATCCGAGGCACTCGTGGCCTCGTGTGGCACTGTGCTACCCACACAGGAAGCGTATCCGACGTCTTCCTCTTCAGTTAAGGTCTGGGCGACCGCGTGTGGCACTGTGTTACCCACTCTGAGCACGCTGTTCTCAGTGTTCGTGACAGCTGCAGCTGTCGCGAAACTAAGTTACCCGCCTGTGGACCTAAGTTACCCACCTGGTCAGCGCCTCTTCTGGGCGCCGCCACCATCAAAACATCATCGGAGTCGTCATATACG